TGAGCCATGAGGTTCTCCTCGGTATCTTCTTGTTCTAGCTTGTTCCGGAGGGTCTCAAATTCCTCAAAATATTCTTCAACTGACTTGTTACCCTGCACCAACTTTCTAAATCGCTTTTGTAAGTCTCTATGGAAATAAGGTGGTACATACCTCCTTCGGAGATTGTATCTCATCGCGGCCCATGTACTGATTTGTTCGTAGCGATGTCTCCTCCTCTCAGCCACATCTCGGTCCCACCAAGACAAGGCATGGTCGGTGAGTTGAGCCGCTGCTAAGGCCACTCTCCTCTGATCGTTGTAGCCGTAGTACTCAAAGATGTATTCCATTCGTCTTTCCCATTCTAGATAAGCATCGGGATCCACCTTGCCTGCAAAAGTAGGAGCCGTTAGCTTGATATCCTTGTTTCCCTGCCTATTACCTTCGTCGTCTCTGATTCGGCCGCGGTTGACAGGGTCTCGTAGCCGTTGGTGTGCTCTTAAGTCAGGAGGGTCTTGTCTCCTTTGATTGTTGTTCACATCTCCTTCCTCTTCAGCCATGTTCTCATCTCCTTGGCCCTGTTGTGGTTGTGGTGGTGGCACTTGAATTGGCCTGACGGCCTCTCGCCTTGGTACCTCCAACCGTCCAACCCTCTCCTCCATACGGCCTAGTTGTGCGGCCATGTCTTGTCGCATTGCCGCAATGGCTTGGAAGATAGTGTCTTGGGCCGGTACAGCTTGTTCCTCCATGAATCTATAACTCAACAGAAACAACACTAGATCACACGCAACTGAGGGTGTTTAAACTATTGAACTTGGCGAAACTTAATGCAATGCTCAAAACTATAGAAGACGGGGTATATAGATATGCTTTTTTTTTTTTTTTTTTGAATTTTGGATGCAATAACAAATGAGTTCGACTAAATAGCTAGTTGCACAACATGTTTTTATGACTTTTCTTTGGTCTTAAATGCAAAAGGTAAGCTAAGAAAACTAGATGCGAGTATGTTCTATTCTTTTTTTTTTTTAACACGGTAACTACTCAACTTAAAACAAATCAAAGACACTTAAACACAAAATGAAAAGAAGGGAACAGATCAGATAAATATCACATGATGCAGAACCTTTCGGCTCTGATACCAAAATGATATAAGATCGGGTGTAGTGTGAGTTGGATCCTTGTAGCTGGCCTCAAGGCTCTCTCTACTCGGACACGAGATGAATGAAGTGTGGGGAAGATGGTGACTTAAACAACTGGCCTCAAGGCTCTCTTTGTTTAAGTCCAATGAACGAACTCGGGGATGATAGTAACCGGTGGATCGAAGGACGCCACAAAGCTTATGATCTAGCTTTGATAAGTCGGAAGAACACAAAGACAAGGGACAGCCGCACAAGTCTTTGTAGCTCTAGGGTTTTGCTAAAGAAAATGCTCTCTTTATTGATAATAGGTAAAAACGTGAGGCTACAAAGCTGCATATGGGACTTTATAAATAGTCCGTCAGCTGTGACCTTCTAGGGTCGACAAATCAAAAAAAGGAAAGCTCAAAACGCAACAGACTCTGTAAAAAGTAAAGAGAACAATTCGATAATCCTAAGAACAATCTAAAAAGGAAAATTAACTAAAGGACCTAACGATAAAACCTGCAAAACAAGAAAAGGAAACTTTGTTAATGAATTCAAATTTAAAGACTCACATTGCTTTAGAGGTGGTTCGAAGACGGGTTGTCTATGACTTGGACTTGAGAAATGACGAGCAATGTTGGGCCAAGGTAGGTCTTTAGCAGCGGCCACGTTTCCTCGTCTAAACTTGGGCTTGGTGCCTTCACGTCCATGGCATATTCTTCTTGGCTTGTGATCTTGAGTTGCTCCATTGTCTTGGTGAGTTCTTTATGTCCTTCTTGCATCATTAGAGCCTCCACAGCTTCATTGAACCCTTCCCTCATGTTTCTCGTGCCTGACCTAGTCCTTGGTGGCTCGTACATGGTAGGAATCTTCAAGTCTTGGGGTTGCTCCGAGCTAGTGTCCTCATCACCCAGCTCCTTGTTTCTTCAAACACAACAACACGCCTCACTACAATCTTTTTAGTCTTCGGACTGTAGAGTCTGTACCCCTTTGATTCTTCAGAGAAACCAAAGAAAATGCAAGCGATGCTTTTGTCATCAAGCTTGATTCGTTTCTGATCAGCTATATGGACATGAGCAATACTTCCCCATACTCTAAAATGCTCCACATTCGGCTTAACTCCACTCCAAGCCTCTTGTGGTGTGATCTCTTTCACAGCTAAAGTCGGGCACCTGTTCAACACATAAAAAGTCCAATTTGCTGCTTCTGCCCAAAAGATTTTTGATATCTTCTTGGTTGACATCATTGCCCTGACCATGTTTAGAATAATGCAATTTTTCCTCTCTGCAATGCCATTTTGTTGTGGTGTATATGCAGTAGTAAGCTGTCTCATGATCCCTTGTTCTTTGCAGTAGTTTGAGAAGTCATCAGACATGTATTCCCCTCCCCGATCAGTTCTCAAGCAGCTGATGCTCTTTCCGGTTTCAACCTCCATCTTCTTTTTGAACAATTTGAATTGCTCAATAGCCTCTGATTTCTCTTTCAAGAAATACGCCCAGGCCTTCCTGCTGAAGTCATCTATGAAAGTCAAGATATACCTCTTTTCGGTGACTGTTGTGGAGTTGATAAGTCCACAAATGTTTGAATGCACTAACTCTAGAATCTTCTTGGCTCTCCACATGCTCTTCTTAGGGATGGTACTCCTCGGTTGTTTTCCGACCAAACAATCCGAACAAGTAAACTTCTGGATGTAAAACTGAGGAAGACCCCTCACCATATTCTTCATCTGTAGTGTTTGCATCCCTCGGTGGCTAAGGTGACCATATCTTTCATGTCACAGTTTAGGAATCTCTTCTAATACAGTTTGCATGCACTTTTGTTGACTTGACTCTCCTTCTTCGCTGATCAGCATAAACATTCTATTTAAGCTCATTTTGCTTTCAGCAATCAGACCTCTATCATCATGATAGATCTTACAAGCTCCTCTTCTGATGATGATCGTCAACTCCTTCTCTTGTAGTTGCCCGAGACTCAACAGATTGTTTTTAAGTTCTGGAACATAATACACGTCTCCTATTGTGTACACTGCATCCTTTAAGACAACTTTGACACTTCCTTTTCCAATGACATCCATTCTCTTATTATTTCCGAGTTTAACCGTGTGTTTGAAACTGGCATCCATGGTTGTGAACAGCTCACGATTACCACTCATGTGATTTGAGCAGCCTGAATCCAGAAACCATGCCTTCCTTCGCATGTTCTCTTGCTTCCCATAGTATGTCATCAACAACATTTCTGCAGTTTCTTCCAAGCTGCAGATTCATCTTCTTCAATGCACGCCATCAACACCATCTTTTCTTTTTCTTTAGCATAGTTTGCCTCTTCATCCCACATTGGACATTCATTTATAAAATGTCCAAGTTTATGGCATTTATAACACTCTACTGTGCTTTTGTCCAAGAATGTTCTGCCTCGGCCACACCCTCTTCCTCTTGCGTTTGAGCCTCTGCCTCTAGATCCGGTTCCTCGTCCATAAGTCACCTTCAGAGCTTGATCTTCACCTTTGTCTGATCTCTTAAACTTTTGCTCATGAACCACTAAGGAACTCTGCAGCTCATCAAGAGAGATACTCTCGATGTCCTTTGACTCTTTATGGAAACCACCATGTACATGAATTTCTCGCTGAGAGTTCTGAGAATCTTCTCCACCACCTTTGATTCTGCCATGGATTCTCCATTACTCCTCATCTGGTTTGTGACTGCTAAGACACGCTTGAAATACTCTTCCACCTTCTCTGATTCATTCATTTCAAGCACTTCAAAATCTCTTCTTAGCTTTTGCAGTAGAGATTTCTTAACCCGTTCGTTTCCACCAAACTTTCTCTTCATGGACTCTCAAATGATCTTAGAAGACCTCCTGTCCAATATCTGCTCGTTACACAGAGACGACTATTTGCAGCCGTCTCCCGTACCGGAAACATCACGGAGACGGGTACTTTACGGAGATGGCGTCGAAACGTCCCAGATACGTTTCAAATAAGGTGGGGACGGCAAGCAGAAAACGGAGACGTTATGGAGATGTTATGGAGACGTTTCAAAAACGTTTCATGTTATTTTTCCTTTTTTACAAAACAAACTAAAAAAAAGGAAAATATAAAATACACGTTTAGGGTTTGAGTTCTATTTTTAAGAGACTCATCTTACCTCTTAATCACCACCAAATAACTTTGCCTCCTCTTTACCTATTATTCACGAAAACTAGCAAGAAAGTCCAAGCACCTCTTACGTCTCTTACGTCTCTTCACCTTTCACCTAAGTACGTCTCTCTACTCTTGTCGCTATTATAGTTATGAATTATGATGTCTTTTCTTTATTTTTGTCTCAATTCCATAGATAAACAATAACTGAATAGCATATATATATATATATATATATATATATTAGTAACAATTGTTAATTGATTAGATGATCAAAATTCAAAAGGAAGTTAATATTACTTATTTCGTTGTTCGTATTATTCAATTCCATAAACAATAACATAAATATATATGTTACTTGTTTGTGTTTGCATCAGCATCGATAGGTCAATAGTTTTGTTATTTTATTTGTTGTTGTGCTTTATTTGTTTTGTTCGTTGCTTGTTTGCTTGTTCGTTGAGTTTTTTTTAGTTCTTTTTTTAAACTTTATGCAGTTTAATTAAATGGATCATTATCAAGGACAATAATGATAACGTTGATAGTAGCAACACTGGATCTACTGATACCAACCAAAGTGATTATGCTCCATTATGGAGTTATGTTTCTAAGCTTGAGAAACAAAGAAAAAAGGAAGGAACCTGGAAATTCAAATGTAACTTTTGTGGTGAGATCCGACAGGATTCATATTCTAGAGTTAGAGCTCATTTGCTTGGAATAAAGAATGCTGGCATTGCTGTTTATAAGAAGTTGCCAAGGAAAAACTTGCAATGCAAAGGTTAGAAGAAGAATTTGAGAAGAAGAAAACTGAGTCTGGACCAAGAGAAGTGTCTTTGCCTTGTGAAGTTGGCTCTGCTTTGAAAAAAAGAAAGGCTGCTGATTCACCAATTGTTAAAGCATTTGGTATTGAAGGCAGAGACCAATTGGATCAGAAAGTTAGAAGAATATTTTTTACTGGAGGGTTAGCGTTTAACCTTGCAAGAAATCCACACTATCATAGGGCATTTCAGTTTGCTGCTGCTAACAAAATTGATGGTTATGTGTCCCCTGTTTATAGTAAGCTGCAAACAACATTGTTAGAGAAAGAGAGGAACCATGTTGAGAAATTATTAAATCCTCTTAAGTCAACATGGAAAGAAAGAGGGGTGACAATTGTGTCAGATGGTTGGAGTGATCCTCTAAAAAAACCTCTGATTAATTTCATGGCTACTTCTGAGAATGGTACTGTGTTTATCAAGCCTGTGAATTGTTTTGGTGAGGTGAAAGATAGATTATTCATTTTGGGTTTGATGGAAGAAGTTATAAATGAAGTGGGGAAACAAAACATTGTGCAGATCGTTACAGATAAGGCAGCAAATTGTAAGGCAGCTAGAGAGATTATTGAGAGTATGTATCCTCACATCTATTGGACACCTAGTGTTGTTCATACTCTCAATCTTGCTTTAAAGAACATTTGTGCAGCAAAGAATGTGGAAACATATGATGAGTGCAACTGGATAACAATAGTTCATGGGGATGCTCTTGCAATCAAACATTTCATCATGAACCATAACATGAGACTAGCAATCTTCTGTAAGTTCTCTCCTTTTAAGTTGTTTTCAGTTGCTGATACTCGATTTGCTTCCATCGTTGTGATGCTTAAGAGGATGAAACTTATAAGACACACCCATAAAGCTATGGTCATAAGTGATGAGTGGACTACTTATAGAGATGATGACGTAGGAAAAGCAATGTTGGTTAAGGAGAAGATTATGGATGATGATTGGTGGGAAAATGTGTCTTATATTATTGATTTCACAGCGACTATGTATGAGATGATTAGATTTTGTGACACTGACAAGCCATGACTTCACTTGGTATATGAGATGTGGGATTCCATGATTGAGAGGTGAAGCTTGAGATCTACAAGAAAGAAAATCGTCAATTGTCTGAATTTAGTGTCTTCTATGATGTGGTGTATGAGATCTTAGTGGCTCGTTGGGCAAAGAATAACACTCCCTTACATTGTCTAACTCACTCTTTAAACCCAAAATATGAGATCTTAAACTATATGTTTTTATCTGTTTTGTTTGTTTCCTTGTCACTTGACATAATTATATGTATATGGCAGATTTTATAGTGAAGCATGGCTAAATGAGGATTCTACAAGAATTGATCCACATAAAGATGCTGTAATCTCATATGAGAGGATGAACTTCTTCAAAATATTGTTTCCCAATACTGACGATCATCTCAAAGTTTTGAATGAGTATGCATTATTCTCGATGAAAAGTGGTTCTTTAGGGGATTTAACATGCATTTCAGCAATGTCTACTATGGAACCCAATCATTGGTTGGCTAACTTTGGTGCCCAAGCTCCTCTCCTCCAGACTTTGGCTTTTAAGTTGCTTGGACAACCTACTTCATCTTTTTGTGTTGAGCGTAATTGGAGCACTTACAAATTTATTCATTCACAAAGAAGAAACAGGTTGGATCCAAGTCGTGCTCAAGATTTGGTTTTCATCCACAACAATCTACGTCTTCTATCAGGGAATAATGATGATGAATATAAAGATGAAAAGACCAAGATGTAGGATGTTGGTGGAGATGGATTTGAGTCTACGGGAGATGTAGCGTTTTTGGAACTTTTCTGATAATTACGCTTGATGAGGCCAGAATTTCAAAAAATTCATTGCTTGACTACTATGTTAGACATAAGTGTTTTTTTTATGTTAAGATTTAGATAGAGGTGTTTTTTATTTTAAGATTTATATGTTACTTTATTTTTATTTATAATTTAAGGTATTATTTCTCTTATATTATTTTTGACATATCCATGTCGTATCTGTATCCATAAATTTTTATTTTGCCATTTCTCGTCCCCGTTTCCGTCCCCATTTCTTGTCCCCGTACCCGTCTCAGTGCTATCAACAGATTGATACAGGTAATATTTAACCTTGTGATCATTTGTTTTGGCATTGTCCAGCTGTGTCCTTTGCTCCTCAGTCAGCACTGTTGTGCTTGCCGGCTCTTCGAACCCGATTTCGATCAGGCTTCACAATCCTTTTGCTCTGAAGAAATTCTCCATAACTTCGCTCCAATGATCCCAATGTCCCTCAAACTGAGGTAGCATCATCTTATCATCGCTCATCTCTCTCTCTTTTTCTGTTTTCTGAAGCTACGGCTTCTTTGTTCTCAAAGATCCAACAGAGCTCTAATACCAAATTTGAAAGATCAACTGCTCTTATGAATATTGGATTCTGAAAACTTGTGTTTATTCCATTAATCATCAAGACTTTATATAGCCATTTACAACACCAAAATCCAAAACTTAAGCCTCAAGATTATGCTAAACCCCAACTAGACCGTAATACTCGGTCTTATTACTAACTTTCTAAACAAATACAAGACTCAATCAACTAGACTTCAACAACTCTTTATTCAAATGAAAATTTGCTCCAACACAGTAATCTACTATTCCACTTAGAGATTAAGATGGTTTAAAAACAAATTCACCTAACAAATTATTTTGTTCTTGATTTAAATCTGTGATCCCGGTTATGTAAGATGGATGAGCAAGTTTCTACGCTTATCAACCCCCACACTGCCACACGAGTTCTCTAATAAATTATTAGATGAGCAAGTTTTATTAAACCGAATTAATTTAGCGGTTAAACAAATTCAGCTCCTCTTAAGGTAATAAGCCCTCCGGAATTTGGTTCAGATATAACCAAAGCGGACTAAAGATCTTCAAACCGTCTACGGTTTGGTTTCACCGGAGCAGTCCATTTGATTTGATACCGTCCGTGTAACCAGTGTTGGTTAATTAAAAATAAAGTCAATTTGACACGTGGCTGCCTTTTTTAAGCGGGTTTACCATGACTAGGATGAGCTCGACCACTGCTGATAGAAGTCCTGATATTACAAAACAAAAAGATATGTTTTTCTATAAAAAAAAAAAATTTAGGCAATGTCTGATATTTGAAGGGAATCAACAGTTGGGTTCGTGAAAAGATTTGATCGAAAAGGGTGTATTTTTATTGTCCTGCGTAAAATCTAACCTTGGTCGGTATGTGTGTATCTGGTCTAAAACCCTTGAAATTGTCGCTATTGTTGTTTGACTTTCGCTTTTGTGAAGTTCGGATCCGCGATTGCAATTGATTCTGGCAATTGGGGTTGGATTCAGTAATTTTCGATATTTTTCGTAGAATTTCTTGGGAGTAGTTGAGCTTGGCGAGTATTAGGTAATAATTCTTTTGTAGAAATCGAAGTTTCGTCAAAAGAAAGTAAAAAAAAATAGAAGTTTCTTTGAGTTTTCTGGAAAGTTAAATTTCTTGTTGCAGTTAGTTAGCGAATGGAGAAGTAGAATTGAGGTCTGATTTTGAAGTTAATGGACAAGAAGAAAAAAGAAACAGATCTCTCATCAGCTCTTTTGATGTGTTCTTATGTTAATTAAAGCTTGGCTCATTAATTTTCTGTTTTGAGGGACATTAGAAACACAAAACTTTGTCTCTCTCTCTCTGAAAATTTTCCCTTTGGTTTTACTCTTAGGATTCAATTTTCTTGTGGAAGGATAATTTTCAATGGCAGACGTACCTAGACACCTGCGCGCTTGTTTGGATATGGGGAAGATAGCTTTCTTAGCAATCCTAGTTTCAGGAGGGATCGTGTTGCAGATTCTGGTATCCTAGAAATCATTACAAGTTATACTCTCTGTTTATTCTTAGATTCAAACTTGTGGTTAAACCCTCTTTTTCTGATTTGGTCCAGGCTTGTGCTCTCTTCGATAATTGGTGGCCAATGCTAAGTGGTGAGTTGTGTTGCTTCACTTGGTCGGTTTGATGTTTAATCTTTTTGACAGATAGTAGGACTTGAATCTTGCCTTTTAACCTCTAGCTTTCATGTTTCTAATGAACTTGAAAACTCCGTGTATCAATGGTGATGGCTTTTAATCTCTCGCTTGCGATTTACTCTAACAGTTTTGGTTTTTCTCATGCAGTGATAATGTATGTGCTTCTCCCTATGCCCTTGCTCTTCTTCGCTGGATCAGACAGTTCATCTCTATTCAGCGAGTCAGACAGTAGGTGCGGAATTTATATATACAGACCTCAAATCGTTTGTTTTGCGGTTTGTTTTTACGTTTACAATTGCGTTTCATATATACGCGTTTGAAACAGTCTTAGGCCATATTCCTCTTGAACTCTCTGAACTTACATGAACATATTTGCTTAATTCAGCTGGATCAATGCAGCCAAGTTCTTGACTGGTGCATCAGCAGTTGGAAGCATCGCAATACCTTCGATTCTTAAACACGCCGGGCTCATCGGTTGGGGCGCATTAGCCTTTGATCTCTCTTCCTACGTTGTCTTCCTCGTCGCTATTCTGTCTTACATTTGCATAGGGGATGGCAATGACAACTATTACAGCTACATTTAAAACAGACAAGACAAATTCGTCATCAGAGTTAGTTTCAAGCTCAAAGTCTCAGCCTTTTCACCATTTCCTGGTTCCATTGATGCTTAACCTCTTGTTGCAACGGATCTACACACCTCACAAGACTCAAATGATTGGATTCTCACAAGTTTTAGGGTATTTTTGTTTCAAGTGTATGTATAAACGAATGGTTTTGTAAGATGAAAATTTTTATATGGTTTGGTTTGGCTTTTGGTGTACAGAACAGAATTATTATTTGGGAAAATGTTTCATTTTTTCCTTTCTTTATAAAGCTTACAGCTTTAGGTTTATAAGCTGTGAAGCCTATTTTATAAAACATAGAGAAGCTTGAAGAGATTAATTTGAATGCGAGCTCTCTGTGTGAAGAAAGTTTATTGCTTTCTCTGGAAACTATCTTTCGATTCTCCAATTCGTTGCCGTAGATTCTTTGGGAATGCGATATCGAGTTACGGAGGTTTCTCTAATGAAGAAGCTCTTATTCTTCGACGCTTATCTGAAGGAGGACTCGTACACGCACGCCATTTGCTCGACAGAGTTCCTCAGAGAGGAAGTAGTATTAGCCGTGTCATCTACTGGACTTCGCTTCTCACCAAGTACGCGAAAGCTGGATACTTGGAACAAGCAAGGGCTTTGTTTGAAGTTATGCCAGAGAAGAACATCGTCACTTGCAACGCGATGTTGACGGGTTACGTGAAACGCAGGAGGCTAGACGAGGCTTGGACACTGTTCCGTGAGATGCCGAAGAACGTTGTTTCGTGGACTGTGATGCTCACTGCGCTTTGTGACGATGGAAGGTGTGAAGATGCGATCGAGTTGTTCGATGAAATGCCTGAGAGAAACGTGGTTTCATGGAACACGTTGGTCACGGGTTTGATTAGGAATGGGGACATGGAGAAGGCGAGACAGGTGTTCGATACTATGCCTAGCCGAGATGTTGTGTCATGGAACGCGATGATTAAAGGGTATATCGAGAACGATGGAATTGATGAAGCGAGACTCTTGTTTGAGAAGATGAGTGAGAAGAATGTGGTTACTTGGACGAGCATGGTGTATGGTTATTGCAGAGACGGAGATGTTGAACAAGCTTATAGATTGTTCTGTGAGATGCCTGAGAGAAACGTTGTTTCTTGGACCGCTATGATCAGTGGGTTTGCTTGGAATGAGTTGTATAGAGAAGCATTGTTGCTTTTTCTTGAGATGAAGAAGGATCTTGATGCGATATCACCTAATGGGGAGACTCTCATCTCTCTCGCTTATGCTTGTGGTGGTCTTGGTGTTGGATATCGCCGTCTTGGCGAGCAGTTGCACGCGCAAGTCATATCCAACGGTTGGGAAAGTGTGGATCATGATGGAAGGTTGGCGAGAAGTCTTGTTCATATGTATGCATCGTCGGGTTTGATCGGTTCAGCGCAGTCTCTGCTCAATGAAAGCTTTGATTTACAGTCTTTTAACATTATGATCAACGGTTATCTAAAGATCGGGGATTTGGAACGAGCTCAAACTCTGTTCAAGAAAGTCGAGAGCTTACACGACAAAGTATCTTGGACGTCGATGATCGATGGGTATCTAGACGCAGGCGATGTATCGAGAGCCTTTGATTTGTTTCAGAAGCTTCACGATAAGGACGGGGTAACATGGACGGTTATGATCTCAGGTCTTGTCCGAAACGAACTTTTTACTGAAGCTTCGTCTCTTTTGTCAGATATGGTGAGACATGGCCTGAAACCGTTAAACTCGACTTACTCTGTTCTTCTTAGCTCCGCTGGTGCTACTTCGAATCTCGATCAAGGGAAGCATTTACACTGTGTGATCGCAAAGACGACGGCTTGCTATGATCCTGATCTCATCCTTCAAAACTCTCTTGTCTCGATGTATGCAAAATGTGGAGCCATAGAGGATGCTGATGAGATCTTCTCAAAGATGGTCCGGAAAGATACAGTTTCTTGGAACTCCATGATCATGGGTTTATCTCATCACGGCTTAGCAGACAAATCTTTAAAACTGTTCAACGAGATGCTTGATTCGGGGATGAAACCGAACTCTGTAACGTTTCTCGCAGTACTCTCAGCTTGTAGCCACTCTGGACTCATCACCAGAGGTTTAGAGCTATTCAAAGCGATGAAGGAAATACATTCAATCCAACCCGGGATCGAGCATTATATCTCGATGATTGACCTTTTAGGCCGAGCCGGGAAGCTAAGAGAAGCAGAGGAGTTTATCTCAGCTCTGCCTTTCACTCCAGACCATACTGTCTACGGCGCATTGCTAGGCTTGTGCGGGCTCAACTGGAGAGATAGAGATGCGGAAGGTGTAGCGGAAAGGGCTGCGACGCGGTTGCTAGAGCTGGATCCGGTGAATGCGCCGGGACACGTGGCGCTATGCAACGTGTATGCGGGTTTAGGGAGGCATGAGATGGAGAAGGAGATGAGGAAAGAAATGGGGTTTAAAGGTGTGAAGAAGACACCAGGATGCAGTTGGATTGTGCTTAATGGAAGAGCTAATGTGTTTCTCTCTGGTGATAAATCTGCTAGTGATATTGCTCAGATGATTTTGCCAATGTTTTATGGGAATGGTAGTGGAATGCTTGAGGAGGAAGAAGAGAAACCGTTGACTCTCTGCCATTGCTGAGAGAGAACTGAGAAGTGAAGCACATATGTTTGTCTAATTGTATTTAACTAGGTTTAAAGAGAGAAAACTAATTTTTCCTTTTTTAGGAAAATTGGCGACTTTTTTTTAATTGATCACAGTGAAAATCATTTAAAATTACTCGAATCTTCATAATTACTGTTGGTTGTATTATTACTGAATTTTTTTCAAACCAAATCAAACTAATTTGCTTTAACAAACTAATGATTTCAGCTGGACTAGCTAAACACCCCCAAAGATTAGAGAATTCAAAACCACAAATTCGACTACCGACAGCAAAACAAAAACCAGTTAACCAGCCTGTGTTTATGGTCTTATGCCTCTTTGGTTCCTAATTTTACAGCCACAATATAATTTTAGCATTCACATAACAAATTGGTAATATTTGAGGTATAAAATGTGGACTTTGGTATATGCCAAGGCGATGTAGACTTGTAGAGAGAGTAGAGACAAGATCTCTACTAATCGACATATAAAAAATTCAGAAAACTATTTGCTTCTCTGTGAGTCAGAGGGTTCAGTGTAACTGTCTACCAAACAAATAACATAGAAACAAGACGAAACCCTCTCTCTCTCTCTCTTTCTCCGCCCCTCCTTCCCTCTCTCTCTCTTCCTCTCATAAATATCGCCACTAAACGTTAACACAAACTCTCTCTCTTCTTTCTCTCTCTCTCTCCTCTCTGCATTTCTCTGCTTCTCAGGTGCTGTGACATGGCGGCGATAGGTCAAATCTCGACGGGAATGACGGTAGATCGCGCTCTGCCTTCCTCCTCCAGGAACATTGGAGTTTTGCCGACATCTCTCCAGCGAACGCTAATCGGCGCCGGCGTGAAGTCCGGTATCGCTCACCGTCATTTGTCGCTCTCCGTCAGATCGATTAATATCAATGACAATAACCGGAAAGTTCAGGTTTATGCAGAGAATGGCGCTTTCGATTTGGTGAGTCAAATTCATTTTTTTGCCCCTAAATTGGTGTATTTGCTCTTTTTTTTTGGTTTTCTTGTTTGTCACGTTCTGTTTTGATTCCTCTAGCCAAATGCTTTCGAATGAAAATGTTTGGAATCAATATCGTTAGGATTCGATTTGATACCATTAGAGTGATAGTTTTATCGATGTTTCCGAATTGATCGTTGAATGTGATTTTTGGGGGGTCATTGTAGGAAGTTTTGGATTCTTCAATCGAGCCGTATAAATTGGCGGAACCAAGAACAAGTAATGATTGCAAGAGGAAAACTAAGATAGTGTGTACGATTGGACCTTCTTCGAGCTCTCGTGAAATGATTTGGAAGCTCGCGGAAGCAGGAATGAATGTGGCTCGTTTGAACATGTCTCATGGTGATCATGCTTCTCACCAGAAAACTATTGATCTAGTGAAAGAATACAACCATTTGTTTGTAGACAAAGCCATTGCTATAATGTTGGATACAAAGGTAAAAATCTTTTCTTGTTTGTTTGTTAAACGAAAGCTCTGTGGTTTTTCTTGTTTATTTATTTGTTTGATTTGTGTGTGAAGGGTCCTGAGGTTCGAAGCGGTGATGTACCTCAGCCGATATTCCTTGAAGAAGGTCAAGAGTTTAGTTTCACCATCAAGAGAGGTGTCTCGCTTAACGATACCGTCAGTGTGAATTATGACGATTTTGTTAACGATGTTGAAGTTGGGGACATACTCTTGGTGGATGGTAAGAGCTTTACATCTAAGATTACTGATGTCTTTGTGGTTATGGAAGTCTTTGTTTTGTTTCGATCTTGATGGATTCTTGTGTCTTTATACTAGGTGGAATGATGTCGCTAGCTGTTAAATCAAAGACGAGCGAGTTGGTGAAATGTGTAGTTATTGACGGTGGAGAGCTTCAATCTAGGCGTCACTTGAACGTTCGAGGAAAGAGTGCGACTCTTCCTTCCATTACAGGTTAATATCAGCTATTATTAGTTTTCCTAATCTCTTGCATCAAGGAGGTTTTCTAATTCAATGTTTCATGCTCTGGTTTTCACTCTCTGCAGATAAAGATTGGGAAGACATTAAATTCGGAGTGGACAACCAAGTTGATTTCTATGCCGTCTCTTTTGTTAAGGATGCTAAAGTTGTCCATGAGCTGAAGAACTATCTCAAATGTAAGTGTGCCCCTATTTCTTCAACCTAGGATCGCACTGGTGAAATTTCTGTGAAAGTAATGAATCTTCCAAATGATTTAAATAGCCTGCAGTGCGGATATATCGGTGATTGTGAAAATTGAAAGCGCAGACTCTATAAAGAATCTTCCTTCTATCATAGCCGCTTGTGATGGGGTTGGTTTCAGAGTCTTTCTATGATCAGAATTAATATATTAATGCTTAATGCTGAGTTTTTCCTTAGCTTATATAATTATTATTGCTTTGGCAGGCTATGGTTGCTCGTGGAGATCTTGGAGCTGAACTTCCCATTGAAGAGGTCCCCTTGTTACAGGTAAATTCAACACTTGGTTTACGAAACATTACACTAGACTATGTTGGTATTTATGCTTTTGCTATTGTGCCTTAATTTTAGGAAGAGATCATCAGAAGGTGTAGGAACATTCATAAACCAGTGATTGTCGCCACAAACATGCTAGAGAGTATGATTAATCATCCAACACCTACAAGAGCTGAAGTCTCTGACATTGCAATTGCAGTCCGTGAAGGTGCAGATGCAATCATGCTTTCTGGTGAAACCGCACACGGAAAGTTCGTATTTTAAATTAAACCTCTTACCTTTTCCATCAATAGGACTTACATGCGATGTGATCTTGAAATGTTCTTATATTTTTTCACCCTCTGATATAAGGTTTCCACTGAAAGCTGTTAACGTAATGCATACTGTGGCGTTGAGAACTGAGGCAAGTTTACCTGTCAGAACCTCAGCAATCCGTACCACTGCTTACAAGGTACACATAATAATCATATCAGAGATGTTAAATATGGTTCGTTAGTCATATGTGAATGTTAATATCGACATTCTTGCTGTAGGGTCACATGGGCCAAATGTTTGCTTTTCATGCTTCTATAATGGCGAATACACTGAGCACACCGATAATTGTATTCACGAGAACTGGATCCATGGCAGTGCTTCTAAGCCATTACCGTCCCTCCTCAACAATTTTTGCATTCACAAACCAGTATGTGATTGTTTATCTGTCATTCACGAAATGTCCTATCCATGCAACTTTTAATCGACGAATTGGGTTTTGATCAATATGCTGGTTTCTTTCCTTTAGGAGAAGGATAATGCAAAGGCTGGCTCTATATCAAGGTGTCATGCCTATATTTATGGAGTTTTCTGATGATGCGGAAGATACATATGCCCGGTCTCTGAAACTCTTACAGGTACAATAACCATGTTCCTCCTCATATATCGACCTTACATTTTCTCTAATTGCAGAAGCAGTTTCGATAACACTTATCTGTTATATATTGCTCAGGACGAGAATATGCTCAAGGAAGGACAACATGTAACTCTTGTCCAAAGCGGTGCGCAACCCATTTGGCGTGAAGAATCAACACATCTCATACAAGTCCGTAAGATAAAGATAGGTTGATGTTTTTTTACTTATTGAGCTTCAACATCTCTGACTTTTTACACAGTTTTCTTTCTCTTAAACGCTTTGATCCCACATTGTTTGAATCACTCACAATGAAACCATATATATCCCTTTAAGTTATTGAAGCAATTTTTCTTTTTCTTTTCTGGTTTTAGTTTAGTACCTAAATGTTTGATAATTGATATGTCATGGAGGATTTCTGTCTCACTCATCTTAGAAAATATGACCATAAAACAAAAGAGTCTTTTCGATGAAAAAGACTAATCCGATTTAGCCTTTTATTTATCAATCAGTTTGATGTTACACCACCCGAAAACCGAAAAAAAAAAACGAAAACAAAACACACATTTGTTAGACTTTAGAATCCTTCATTGGTTCCTCGTAATCGTCGCTGTCGGTATCATTTTCATCATCACTCATGTCTTGCATCTCATCTTTCCCTTCTAGTTTTATACACTTGTACCACCTTGCACATGCAATGTACACCACCAGATCAATGCTGGTCAACGCAGCCAAGAGGAAATAGAATCTGTCCAGGTGACCCTTGTTTAGGTTCCTTGGAATCCAACCAGGCATGTGATCCTCTGTAGAGATCTTCACCACCATTGTCACCAACAAGCTACTCACAAAGTTCCCCATCGACATTGACATCATACACAGAGCACTCCCGAAGCTCTTTAGCCCATCTGGTGTCTGTGCGTTGAAGAACTCAAGCTGACCAACGTACATGAACACTTCTGATGCTCCTATGAGCGAGTATTGTGGAACCTGTAAAGTGGAAGAAGATTATCAGGACTCAGAACTTTTCTCTGTAAGTGGTTGAGATTTTAGGACCGGATTATGTTGTGTGTGTTCATTTACCTGCCAGAAGATGCTTAATGAGCTTGAGCCATCACAGTGAGTGCAACTCTTGTCTGCAAATTTAAGTCTAAAGCATTCCACAACACCGGCTGCGACCATAGCTAAGATAGCAATCACAAGCCCGATTCCCATCCTATGAAGCTCGGTGATTCCCTTTGTTCCGTCCTTCTTCTTAAATCTGTTTGCTAGTGGCTCGAGAACTCTACGGTATATGAAAATGAACAGAGCAACGCTAAGGATGTCGAAGCTGGACATACTTGCAGGCGGGATTTTGAAATCCGAGACAGTGGTCTTCATGGCTGCACCTTGCTCCACAAACAGAGAAGCCATTTGGGTAAAGACGACCGAGTAGATTATAGTGCAGAGCCAAATCGGCATCAGTCTAAGAATACACTTGACTTCCTCGACTTGTGTCACTGGACAAAGCCTCCACGGATTCACTCCGCCTTGTTTCTTGTCATCAAGATCTCTTGCTGTGATGTAAGCGGCTCTGTCCAAGAACCTGAAAATTAACAATGTTAGAACACTTCATAGCATTGTAAGTATATGCGCAAAAAATGGCGATCTTTTGGCAACGTACTTGA